AATCAAAACTGCCCAACAACCAGGCTCTGGTTTAAATCCTACCTCTGCCAACCCTCCAAGTGCTGCAAGTGCATCATCTACCATTCCAGCCTTACATAGGCCCATTAGCAACTCATCTGAGGTTGAGTGATGTGGTATAAACCCCCGGCTTAGCATCAGATCCAACAGCTCTGTAGCCTTGTTCAAGTCATTCCTGGAGCACAAGGAATTCAACACAACCCGGTAACTTGCTTTATTTAGATAGACACCATCATCAGCAGTTTCTTGACCATCTGAAGAGCCTCCTGATACCTTCCTTCTGAGCAGAGTCCTTTGAGTAGCACATTAAAGGTTACAACATCGGCTTGCAGTTCCCTTCCCTTCATCTCTCTGAGCAGTTCTATGGCTTCATCAACTTTCCAGCCTTACAAAAGCAGCCAATCAAGGTAGTATAGGTGATTGTATCAGGTTTCAGGCCAATACTCTTCATTTCATCAAAAAAATCCTTGGCCTCTTGCCACCTTCCCTCCTTGCTAAATCCATTCATTAAGGCTGAGTAATTGAATACATTCAGAGTGCAGCCATTGTTCTTCATAAAGTCCATTATCTTTCTAGTCCGATCCACTTTCCCTCTGCAGCAAAAGCCATTAATCAAAACATCATAGGTTTGGCTGTCAGGTAGGATCTGATTTTTACCAACCATTTCCTCAAACAACTGAATTGCTTCTTCGAATCTTCCATTTTTGCAGAGGCCATCCATCACAGTCGAATATGTAATCAGATTAGGATAAGAAATTTTGGATTTCTTCATCTCCTTTACAACTTCAAAGGCAGACTCAATGTCTCCTTTCTTGCAGTGATACTTAACAAAGATGTTGAAAATGCATGTATTGGGATTCAAACTGAGAGATCTGTTGGAATTCAAGAGAAAATCTTGGGTCAAATCAAATTGATTTGATTCAATCAGGAGATTAAGACAAGTGCTGATGGCTTTCAAAGAGGGCTTTTCACGACCAATTGATTGAATTGCATACAACATCTCAAGTAATTTTTCATGTAAAGAAAGTTGAGAGAAATGCTTCATGAGGTTAAGGAATATACCCTCACGAATTTTACAAGCGTCGTAGGTCATTTTGGCGAAGAATTGCATCAACAGCCTGAAACTTCTTTGACTGAGCAAGCTTCTGAAGGATAACCGCATAGGTGGCATTGTTGTGATTAAAACGCTTTTTCTGAGCTACCATATTAAACATTTCCAAAGCACGTTGTGGATCTCACTCACGTTTGATCATGTTGACCGCAGCCTCGTGAGTAATAAATTTTGATTTCCTCCGAGGCTCCACATTTGAGGTTTCGGGTGGGGGGTCTGGTTTCTTGAAGTTGGCTAGAGACTGCAGAGGGGAGATCCATGGAAGTGAAGATAACGAGGTTGAAGAAGAAAACCAGCGGCGCTTGCCCACAGAAATCATTTTCTACTGCTGCTCCCTTCTAAAGGGTTTCATCATCTAGAAAACAAAAAAACTTGTTACCCTGCTACTATGGCACCTTGATAAGCCTAGAATAAAGCTAATCTTTTTTTAGTGCAACACTGCAGCAGAATACTGAATAACTCTTCCTATGATTATAAAACGAACAACTAATTTTCCACTCCAACAAACTGCATTACCTAACCAGAATCATGAAAGTATTTCAATCTCGCGGAGAAAGAAAAACCCTCAAGTAAGATAGCTTTCTCAGGAATTTAAGCAAACACTTGGAATGCACAAACTATAAACTTACCTTAACATCGAAAAGGACCACTTCCCATCAAGAGTATAGCTGAAATTATGCACCAGAAATTTAATGAAATGTAAGAAACTACTGAAAATCAAGGGGAAAAAAAAAAATAAAAATCGCATCTTGAAAGCATTACCATCCATCCAGAGCTCGATACAGGAGCGAAACATCCAATGCATACCGTCACCTTGAGCCCAAGAAAAAGTAGACGAAGGT